GTCTGTTTACTACTTTATTATATCCTTATAAAGAATAGAGAGGAACCCTGCCTGTCAGGAGCCAGGTAAGAAAGACAAAGTCTTAATTGGTTGACGACATTGTCACTCATCCTGTGTACAGAAGACAGAAGACAGAGGCAGGTCAGCTAGCTGTGAAATGGTGAATAGGGCATATCCATGGAGTTTGATCTTTGATGCATGCTTTTCTTCCTTATTCTAGTTTGTTCCCAGACTTTTGAAAGCTGGTAATGTCTAACCAATAAAGGGACTTTGCCTACATGCAGATGTGCAGGGCACTATGGAGGAGCCATTCCCTACATTTACTTTCTGCAGCCATTGGTGGGACTGTGATTTTGTTAATCAAAAATAATGAATCTGAATAAATTATTTCTTGGAGGTAAAAAGAAAGTGAAGCAGAATGAGTGTTTCAATCAAATGAGGTTAAATTAATAGATGTCGTCACTAAACCTGAAAGTCACTGCTTGGTTCAAATCCTAAATCGTGAGAGTAAATTTCAGTCACTTCATGAGACCCATTTATTTGCCTCTCTGATTCCACTCCCCTGCCTAACCTTTTTCATCCCATTTTTGCCCTGCTTTATGGAATGGACATTGACGAATGAGAGAGGCAGGAAGAATGCAGTAAAAAATTGCTTGCCCTTTCCCTTCCTGAAGGATGGTTCTGTTATGCAGTGGTTTTGTACAGCCTTCTGGAGATGTGATGAAGCAACCAGCTGTGTGTACTGTAAAGCTAAACCCAGCTTGTAAACATACCACCAGGATCTCCTTCCTCTGACTCTGCACTCTCCAATAAACTTTTAGCATGTACACTTGTTTCAGGCACAATTTTCTAGGAAATCTGGGCTAAAACAGTCACATATTTATTTTTAAGTATTCATTATGAATAAAAAAATGAAACAAATACAAAAACAGAGGGAAAAGTACAACTAATTCCTTCATCATCTAGACTCAATAATTAGCCATTTTTGTCCCATTTATGTCCCATTTATACCATTCATCCCATTCTGTTCCTGCCCTCCCCACCTTTTTTTGGTACTATTTTAAATAAAATTCCAGACAGTATATCATTTAACTTCAACATACTTTAGTATGTCTCTCCAATAATTATGGACATTTTCTTACATAAACACAATGCCATTATTACACTTAATGAAATAACAGTATTTCTTTGTTATTGTCCAACACCAGTACATAGTCAAATGTCCATGATTATATTACAAGTCTTTTTATAGTTGTGACATTTAAATCAGGATCCAAAGTGCATGCCTTACATTGCTTGCTCTATTTCTTTAATCTAGAGCTTCTCCTGACCCCTTACCTCTCCTTTTTGTCCTATTATTAACTTGCTACAGAGACCACATCATTCATCTTATAGTGTCCCACATTCTAGATTTATCTGTTTCCTTCTTTGTGGTGTCATTTAACTTGTTCTTTTAACCCTTGTATTTCTTATATGCCTGTAAGTGGGAAGTCAGTTTTAAGGCTTGATTAGATTTCGTTTTCGTTTTTGTTTGTTGGCAAGAACACTTCATTGGTGTGCTGAGTGCTTCACATGGCATTAGATCAGGAAGCACACAGTGTCTGGAGATCCACTTGTAGCAACAATTACAAATTATTAGGCTCAAGCAATAACAGTCTGATGCACACTGTAAAGTTCCTCATCAACCTCTCATCTAATGGTTTTATTCATAGATGATTGTTGCCTGAATCATTTACTACCTGAAGGATTGCTAAATGGTGGTTTTCAAATTCTATTATTTCTTTCACACTTGTTATACAAAAACAACTTCCCCTCAACAGCTCTTTGGTTTTCTGAAATACAGTTCTATCAGGAAAGGCAATGTAAGTTCTAATTCTTTTCCTTTAATTGATGGTTTAGAATAAGGAGTTAGTGCTAGTTGATTGCAATGGTGTCCAATACATTTTTTTTTTTTTTTTTTTTTTTTTTTGTCTCCCCCATCTTTAAGACTTTTTGAATTTTTATGTATTTGGTATGTTTCAAACAACTACAGTCATTACTTTTTTTGATTTGTCCCATATTTGACCAAAGGAACCCTTTGGTGTTGATTTCTGTGTCCCTTTGACACACTCATTTGTTGTTAATAGATTCCTTGCTTTGTGGCACAAGATATCCTGTGCTCATCTTGTATATATCCTGCCCTAGACCTAAAATCAGACATTCCTCAGGGTAGCCCTGGTTTCTTTTAGTTAGAAATTGTATTTAAAACCCCCAAAGTGAATGGCTTACATTATTTTATTTGTGGTAAAAATGAAAGCTTGTGTATCTAAAATTTGATTCCAAGGTAGTAATTTTAGAAACCAGTATTTATTTAGTCAACATGTAAAACTGCAATTGCTTTTTAAATTTTCATTTTAAGCTCACTTTTAAATAATTTATATAAAAGGATATACCCTTTACTATAAGTATACCTAAAATTCTGTTCATAACTATATATCAGCATTTCACTTTTCCAGATGGTACAATTTATATTCAAAAGTTCCCAAAACATTTGAAATGAAGGATATAAATGAAATCTCAAATGTTTTCATATCAATTCAAATAAAGACATCAATTTAATCAGAGTTGCTACAGAAAAAGCTTTGAAAAACTTTTAGAACTGTGATGGTTTGATATGAGCTGTCAAATTTGAGTTTTAGCTTGGAATAAGTGAAGGGCTATGATTTCAGGAGTTAGCAGACTCCTGTGTGGGAATGCATGACACTGAAATCAAATGCAAAATGCTATTTAGTAGTAATAGCATTTCAAAGTAAGGTCTGAGGACCCCATAGGGGTTAATGAGACCCTTTCAGGGGCTTTTTGCAAGGTCTTCCCCTTTTTCAACCGTGACTTTGTATGAGGCTGATTTTCTTCATAATACCTGAGCTATACCAACATATCACAACATAGTGAAGCAGAAGCGGACTGTGAGAATCCAGCCGTCTCTATTAAGCCAGACAGGAAAGAGATTTGCAGAAAAAAAAAAAAAGTTAAAAATTCCACTTTTTTAAATTTAATTTTTTTGGAAAAATGTAGTCATACATGAGAATGATCTTTACAGTAACATGTAATGGGCTTAAAATGAATAAATACCTAAAATTTTTCTATTTTAAATTTTAATACAGTAAATATGAACATATATAACTCACACAAACAAAAGCTCTTTAAAAGTTCTCATGTTTCAAAATGTAAGTAGATCTTGAGACCAAAAAGCTTGAGAACTACCACTCTATGGTATCTTTCACTATTTGCTTACCTGGGCTATGGTGGCCTGTATTACCCATTTTTTTTTTTTTTGTCTTTTGTCTTTTTCCGTGTCCGGCAACGGATCGCAACCCTCAGTGTTGCCCCCGTACCGGACCGGGGACCGGCAACGGGATCGCAACCCTCGGTGTTGCTCCCGCGCCTCGCTCAGCCAGTGAGCGGGAACCGGTCTGTATGTGGGATCCGAACCCTCGGGCGGGAGCGCCGCCGCACTTCCCAAGCGGCGCACTTATCCAGTGTGCCACCGGGCCGGCCCTGTATTACCCATTTTTTGCACCAGCTGGTGGAGGTTGAGACTGCAGGGGCAGACATGTAATCTCATTTGATGAACATGCACAGTAAAAAGTTTATCCCTTCAATGACCTCCCACTGGAAGTGCTAGAGAGCACAAAATATATTTGTGTCCCCAGACCTGCTCCTCTGGTATCAGGTGTATGTATAAATAGGAATAGATTTTAAATATATATATTCATAGAATTTGTAAACTAATTAATTTAGCTTTGCTTTAATATCTTCTTGAATATTAAATATAATGTCTAACTATAATTTAAACTTGTACCTTAGGAATATATTCATTTTTCCTTTTATGGCATTAATGCCAAATACAGGTCTGCTCTAATATATAAGACAACTCATTATATTTCAACTTGACACATAGCCAAATATTATTTATAATTTATTTGATGAATTTGAAGAAAATGGGATATTCCAAGGCTTTACCTCAGCTGCTCTTTTTTTAATAGATTTTTTTTAAAAAAGCAGTTTTAGGATCAGAGCAAAATTGAACAGACAGTAGAGTTCCTCTATATTCTCAAAGCCCACACCTGCACAGCCTCCCAGTCTATTAACTTCCTGCACCAAAGTATTACATTTATTACAGTTGATGAACTTACATCACACATAAGAAAAACTGGTACATATCCCCGTCTCTGGAGAGAAATTTTGTTCTCTTTAGGAAACTCTTGGGAGTTCTAGTTATCAGACCACTTAAGTCTCTGAGTAGATTTTTAAACTTTTAGAATTCATTTTGAACCAAGAGTGCTAGAAGGTCTGGTATTTTACTTCAGTACTAAGTGATTTTGAAAATGCAAGGTAGCAGTGTCCAGAAGGAAAATAAAGACCAGCAATAATAAAGGCAACTGGGGCAGGAATAAAAAAGGAGAGAAAAGTATTTGTGTGTTCAGTACTTCTAGGTTCCACTTTCTTTGTACGTTGTAGCAGCCCAGTTAAGATTGTGTTATTTGGGGGCAAAAGCTTAAGTATGAAATGCCAGTTTCTTCAAAGTAAACGACCTGTTCTGGTTTACTCTTCTTGGCTTGCCTAGAGACAGCAAAACTGAATAGTTTTCCTGTGTGCACTTGAATAGCAAAAAATTCAATAAGGAGTCGCCCAGAGAGGTGGGCAATAGGGAGGCGCTTTGCCACTGGAGCTGTGCACTTAAGCAACTATGGGGTCTCGGTTTTTCTGACCTGTAAAACAAGGGGAGGGGCTGAAGATACAATTTCGAAGATTTTTCAGCTCTTTGTTACCCTCCTAGCCATTAGCATAGGGCTGGGCTTAGAGCAAGTGCTCAATAATTGCTTGCTGAAATGAATATTTTTCCTGATCTGTTGCAAATCCAGGCCAGGTTTTGCGTCCAACGCAGGCCAGAGCCCCAGGGGCTGGTTTTCCGCTGGAGGCGGGGCTTCGCCGACAGGGGCGGAGCTTGCCGCCGGCGGAGGGCGGGGCCCGCGCCGGGATTTCCCCTGGGTTGAGCTGCGCAGGGAAGCGGCGGGTGGGCGCCGGTTGGCGGGTGGGGGCTGTGAGGCTGGCGGGGGTGAGTGGGCGCGCTGTCGCCAACCCCTGGTGGTCCCGCGGGCTTGGGACGCTTCCTCGGGAGTCGGCCCTAGGCGGGGCGGGCGCTGCTGTGAGGCGGAGGGCTGCTGGGCCGAGAGTCTGCAGCGATCGCGAGCATGTGTGCGTGCGCGTATTTATCTGAGGCCCGCGCGGCGGCCGCTTCTGCCTCCTCCTTCTCCTCCTCCTCCGCCTCTTCCTGGCTAAGTCGGGGGGGAAATAGGGGCCCAGGGACTCGCGCCTCTGGCTTAGAGCCGACCCACTCCCCCCTGCCGAGCCGGCGCCCCCGGAGCGCGCCCTCATGTCCCCACAAAGGGGACTCCTCTGGCCCCAAGTCCTGGCTGTGAGGAAGCGCTGTGGGGAGGAGTTGCCCTCCGACTGGAAGTGTTGGGCAGGTGGTGGGAGTTCGTCAGGCTTGAACACAATTTTAAAGCACGTGTCTGTCTCTGTCGTTTTTACTTCTAGGGTTTTGGCCAAATTGGGCGAGGGCACAAAGTAACCACTTACCCCTTCTCACCGAGGAAGAGAGGGAGAAAGGGTAAGTAAGGAATGATCAGGGGTGGAAGGAGCTAGAACTATCCTGAGAGGGAGCAAGGAATAGAAGATCTAGATCCAGAACTGCCCCTGGGGAATTTGGGTCCAAATTGGGTCCTGTTTATAAGGAAACCGAGACCCACCTTCAAAGATAGCAGGCCCACTTTTTCCCCCAGTCTTACAGAGTCTGTGAGTTTAACAGCTTGGGCATAGATCCCCTTTAGCCACTTGACCTGACAGAAAAGTGTTGCTACCCTTCACCTGTTTAAACTTGGAACTTTGGTCCTGCAGTTGTCTGGGGCCCATTTTTATTAGCTAGCTTGGACTAATCAAAAATCAAGGCCTTTCTTATTAACAGGAACTCCTCTAGGGAACTTTACCTTTTTTTTTTTAAAGATGACCGGTAAGGGAATCTTAACCCTTGACTTGGTGTTGTCAGCACCACGCTCACCCAGTGAGCAAACCGGCCATCCCTATATAGGGATCTGAACCCGTGGCCTTGGTGTTATCAGCACCACACTCTCCCAAGTGAGCCACGGGCCTGTCCTGGAACTTTACATTTTAAAAGGGGATTCCTCAAAAAATTCCTTTAGGACCGCAAAGCATGAAGTTTAGCACCATCACAAGTGTTGCAGTTCTTTTAGTATCTTTTCTCAAGTTTATAGAAGGTATTTTGGGGGAGAACAAATTACCAGGCTGGGCCGTTTTCTCTTGACTTTCTCTTTGATATCACTTCACAAGCTCTCTTCTGAAAAGTTGCCAAACAGCACGTTGAAGTCCTCGGAGATTTACTGTGATTTTTAGTGTGTTCTTTTTCATTGGTTCTTCTTTGGGACTTTCCTGTCACTTCTTCAGTACACCGCTTTTTCCTCCCCTGTATAGTGAAATGAAACACAGCTCCTCTCAGAAGGTTGGGAACCTCTCGTGCATCCTGTATGTCACATACAAATCAATGTTTTAAATTAAAATTCAGATTAGCTAAAAGCAAGAATGTAGGAAACCACATTCTTGGATACTTAGGAGGGTACTTCAGAAGTTTGTGGACAAATAGAATTAAAAGATAATATGGATGTTTCCATGAACTTTTTGAAGTACCCTTGTACATGGGAAAACTAGAATTGCCCTCTCTGGCCATCTTGACATTGGCTGCCTGTGTCCTAAACCTCCTTATTTGTGTTTAAGTGGCGGGTGACCACATAATTTACTTTATGAAAAACTAGGAATTGGTTGTTTATTGATGATGGGTTCATTCATTAATTCAGTAGGTATCTATTATTTCCTACCACGTGCTGAGCACTTGATAAAAGTAAGATGGTGAGAATGATGAGATTGGGTCGGAGATGGTCATTTTGGGGCAGGCCTTTCACCAGTTTTCCATGGATTTTCTGAATAGTTACATGTTAATTTACAAGATCTTCTCTATACTACTGGTATTAATGGTAAATACAGTGTTGTGGGAGAATAGTGTTATTATTTTGCCATTCTAATACTTTCAGTAATAAACTTTCAAGTATGGCCAACCTTGGTGATTTGTGTCCTATAATGAATAGTGGTATGGTCATTTTCCATTGTGACAAATGTATTATACAAGTATTATACAAGACTTGATATTAGAAAACAGAGAGAGTGTTAAGGATGAAGGACTTAGGAAAATAAATACTAAAGTAGACTGTTAACTTGCATAGATTTCTGCACATTTTTTTTTTTTGAAGCAAGACAATTTGTCTTTTTCTGGCTGTAAGAGTTATATAAGGTCAAAACACAGTTATTTAGAATTATATCTTGCAGGGTTATAAAAAGTAGAAAATGAGTCTTCCATGAGCCCACTCTCGTATGACCACTGTTAACAATTTGATATTTATTTCTTCAACTTTTTGTTCCATATAGACACACTAAATACACAGCCAAACTATATGTTATTCATACATACAGCTGAGCTATGTATTTATAAATATAGAATAGATATGGAACATAATATTTATGTGTATTTATATATGTAACTGTTATCTGGCAAAGTTGTAAATTTCTTACTCTTTCTTCATCCTCTTGGCTTTTACCACGACTCCTTGCTCCATTCCAAATCCACATATAGAAGTAGCATGCCTTGTGTAGTCTTTTAGACATGGGCTTGAGTCCTGGCTCTCACTTTGGGCTGATTAAAACTTCTCTGCTTCTTGATGTGTCATCTGTAAAAACAGAACAATGAGAATATAAAAAAGCAGGTGTAAAAACCAGTGCATGACATAGAGATCCTTTAATTTCCCTTCCTGTTTCTTTGTGTGGTCACCCATCACTTTCTTATGATCTCCTTTTGATTGTGGAAAGCAGTCTAGTACTTTCCTATAGGTGCTAAGCCTCCTGGGTGTTTGCATTTTCAAGGCAGATCATCTGATGTATCTGATCCTAGAATTTCTGAGACAAGGCCGAAACCTGATGTGGCTTGATTTCCCCCCATCAGATCATTCCACAGTGCTGTGTAGAGTGCTAGCTTGAAAAATGAAGGGAAAGTGTTTCTGTTATGTGTTTAAGAAGCTCTGACACTGTTCCCAAAGTGAGAAAGACATATTACCTCATTTAGCTGAGTGCTTAAACTTAGGATTTCTATTTCAGAAATGTCTGGCTTATAAGAATTACCATAAAAATGCTGATACTTCATGTCCGAACTGTCATGATTTTGCCAAGTTGTGGATTTAATATACAGCTAAGCTGTGTATTTAGTGTATCTAATACTGCTCTGGAAGCTGAGAAAGACAAGTACACAGACATCTGATTTCACACCAGACATCAGGTTTTACTTTGCTGAGGAGTACATTTTGTCAGTAGATTATAGGCATATCAGCTGAACTGCTGTAGTTTGTGGCATTTCTATCATAAGCTCTAGTCTGGAAGGTTTAATATGATGTTTTATTCAAATGACAGACACTGAAAATGAGCACCTGGTCAGATAAGCACATTTACCACAGGTGTCTTCTTGTGTTATTGTTCTTACAAGTTAACAAGGCAAAATAGTGTCTATCCACTAGATAGACACTAGCAAAAATTTCTTAAAACCTCGCTTAAAAACCCATTATATTCTTTTTTTTTTTTTTTTTGTCTTTTTCCGTGTCCGGCAACGGTTCGCAACCCTCAGTGTCACCCCCGTACCGGACCAGGACCGGCAACGGGATCGCAACCCTCGGCGTTGCCCCCGCGCCTCGCTCAGCCAGTGAGCGGGAACCGGTCTGTATGTGGGATCCGAACCCTCGGCGGGAGCGCCGCCGCGCTTCCCAAGCGGCGCACTAGCGCAGTGCGCCACCGGGCCGGCCCCAAAAACCCATTATATTCTAAAAGTCATTTTAAAGTTTATTATTTGTAATGTTGAACAACTACTTACAGGAATAAGATAAATAGCATTTAGATTTCTAGGTCAGAACCCTAAAGTTTTTTAAACTCATTATGTGCCCGTTATATATTAATGGTATCAAAGACTCTAAACAATAGTTATAATAGTGTTTTGGAGGCAAATGTATTCTGAGTTCCAACCCAGAATGGCTAGACCATATCCCCCTCCATTTTGAGGTAGTGAGGGGTATAGGAAAACTCTCGAGGCTGTTATTCCTGGGTTTTTGGGTGGGCTTTGTCATTGCTTAGCTGTGTGACCTTAGACACAAATTTTTCATCTGTGAAGTGCGATAATTATTCATGATTACTGTGAGATTCAATGAGTGTTTGTAAAGTAGCACAATATCTGCCACAAAACTGGTCCTCAGTAAATAGTAGTTTCATTTTTCCTCTAGGTCCTGACCAGAAGAACAAAGACCCCTATTCTCCCCTCTAAGCCCTCTCTGCCTTACATCCAGACTAACCCATTGGCCAGGATTTATGGCCTCAAAGGAGTAGAATTATGGGATCTGGGATTTGGTAGTTAGGACTGGGAAAGGGGTATGTAGAATAATGATGAAGGAGAAGGATGGTGAACTGAAAGAGGAAGGTGCTGATCTTTTGCTTAGTCCAGGGAAGGGTTTTAGCTGAGACTTGAAAGCTGAGTAGGAGTGGGCAGGTTGATAAGCAGCCGAGAGCATTTCCAGGTGGAGCTAATAGCATGAGTAGTTATGTGACATTATGAGAATGTAGTATGTTCTGGGAGGTCAGTTATATTAGAGTATGAAGGGCAAGGTCTGGAGTGAAAGGAGATGAAACTGGATAGTTAATTCAGGGCACATGTTCTATTCATGTGTAGTGTGAGCCACTGACGAATTGTGAGTGGCATGAAAGATAACTAAGAAGTGTGCTGGATAGCTTGGGGGTGGGGTTGGGTAATGGGTGGGGACATGGCAAGATTGGAGGCCATAGAGGACAGTGTGGTGGTATTGACAACAAAAACTGAGATCTCAGACATGGGTGGAAGTAGTGGGGATAGAGAAGTGGGAACGTTTAGGAAAAGTATATAGGAGAAGGGAGATTGACTGGTCTTTGTAACGGTTTGAATGTAAAAGGTATGGGAGAATGAGCATGCTAGAATGCCTGCCAGGTAGTGAGAGGTAGTGGGCAGTGAGAGGGAAAAAGAGGAGAAAGCAGGTCTGAGGGGGAAAATGATGAGTTCAGCTTTGCACATTTCATGCTTAATGTGCTTTCAGGGCATATCATTGGTGAGTTGGAGGCAGCTGGATATAGGATCCCAGAACATCACAAGAGACTGTAGAGGCTGGAGGTACAGATTTCTGAATTCTTCCCATATGGGGAGTAGTTGAAGGAGGTAAGGGTAAAAGTGCTTAGAGGATTTGTATGGGAAGAGATGAGAAAAAGGCTAAAATTAAGTCTTAGAGAATATTGAAATTTAAGGGGTACCACAGACTGCTTCTGCCCTGCCAAAAAAAAAAAAAAAAAATTAAGGGACACACTGTGAAGGAGAAAGATGCAAGAATGAGAAGGGGAGTGGCCAGAGAGGCTGAGAGAAAAGGAAAAGCAAAGCTTTTCAGGCCAAAGGAAGAGTTTCAAGAAGTAGAGCCCAGTTCATATTTAATG